ATAATAGGGGACCTTTAATATAAGTTAAAGGGGCCCTATTATGCTCATTGTCAGGTTCATGCAGTAGTTGTATTTTGTGCCTCTACTGTGACATGTTCCATGCTTTTATGTTAAAAACTCTCATTCTGCCTGTGCTGCAGCACCTTCTCTCACCCTCTGTTTGAAAAATGTTGGAGAGAAACTCGGGATGTTAGCCTTTGCAGACCATTTACATGCACAAAAACTTATATAACACACACACGCTCACACGAACACACACACACACACACACACACACACACACACACACACACACACACACACACACACACACACACACACACACACACACACACACACACACACAGTAATACACTCCCCACAACCGCATTCACAGGGCAACACACACACACACACACACACACACACACACACAAAAGAAAAAGGGAAAACCCCCCAAAAACATAATAAGGCCTCTTTAAATTTGAAGTGCTCATCTGCCATGTCTTCTCTCTGCTTTCTTAGATCCTCCAACCATTTTGAAGCTCTTGGAGCCAGAACGGCGCCATGACACGTGCATCGAGTTCACGGTTCGAGGCTGGCCCCACCCCACCTTACAATGGTTCTACAAAGATAAGGTGCGCCTGATCAATCTATTGTGCAAATAAGATTTTCTAAAATATTTATTAACTCATGGTTGCTTTATTTTTTGCTTACCTGTGTGGAATAAAAATTGGGTGGAGGGCGGTGCAGTCTGCCAAGGACTGACAGAAGCACTGATCTAAGATTATATTTGTCCATCAATTAATATATACAGTACATGTCTTTTCACAAGGCAACATAACATGATGATTATTTGCTCCCCTCCCAGGAAATATCCCACACTGAGTATGTGCGTCCTGATATGGATACGTATCAAGACTACATAGAAGGCTGCCTAACCTTTAACGTCCCAACGCACCACAACAACGGCAACTACACACTGGTGGCCACCAACGAGCTGGGTGAGGCTGTCAGCACCATCTACGGGCACTTCATGGACAAGCCGATCGTTGATAGTAAGTTGGGTCTGTCTGTGTCATATCTACTATTATTAAAGTATAAACTATAGAAACACCAGAGATAATATCAACTGAATCCCTGTGATTGAAATAATTTAAATAAAATGTTATAAGATATCTGTGTTACATGTACTAGTACTATAAAAGGTAACAACTTTCTACTTAGACTCTTTCATATTTCACTCTGTTAGAACAAGGTGCCATGAAGCATTTCCCTCATATGTCAAAAAGAAAAGAAAAATGTGTTCCCACATCTCTACCCCACTTCGTTTTGACCTAATTTAAGGCAGCCAGCTGGTTCCACAAACACACAACTGATAGATGGAAGTCTATCTTTGTGTAGCAGAGGTGATTTGGAAACAAATGTAGCCTACACATAATGTGTAGCCTTTAAGTGGCTCTCCTCCTGTTGGGGAAGCAGACCTGGAACTACTTTTGCCAGTAGGTGATACTAAATGCAAATTCCACGAAACGGCCAAGGCTTCAGCTGGGAGTACTTTCCATTGGGATTGGTCCATCAGATCTGTCAGAAGACCACAAAAGACAGAGTGGCTGGTTTCTGGCAGGAATGATTACAAAACACATGTGAATGGGGGACATTCAAAAATAAATAATTAATACAATTTGTGAAAGAAGATAAGAGACAATGAAATGAACAGAGTCCACACAAGGGAGAATACTAAGGTTAAATATTGTAACCCTATTTCTATACTGGACACTGGTAATACTCACACGCACATGTTATCCCACTGAAATAATTGACATAAGCGTGTCCGGCAAATCGAAACAGGCCTATCTGAATATGTTGGGCCACACGGTCTATACGTTACTATGTTTTATCCTACACCCTCTCCAGGGAGCTGCATAGGACAGACAGGGCCCCTGGTAGAGGGCTCTGCCTGTGCTTATAGAGCTAGGGTTACAATACGTAACCTTTGTTTTAGCTAGGACAGGCTATGTACGCTCTGCAAAAAACATCGACCTACCATTCTGATACTGACCGGTTTAAGGTTGCTTCCCATGTAGCGCAAAGAAATGTAGGAGTATCATGCCCAAAAGGGGATTCCTGGTGAAACTTAACCAGTGGGAAATTGCCGATCACTGAAGAGAAAAAGGATAACAGTCAGCAACTTTGCTGCCTTATACAGTAAACCATGTGGTCAGCATGTATCCGGGTAAGCTCGTTTTGATTGGCCAGCTACGTGTATGAAATGTATTACAGTGGGTGAATATGTGTGTTTAATTGGAAAATAATATTACCTTTTAAGTCGAGTAGAGGGCGGAGCATGTGTGAGTCAGAACAAGGAGGTTTTGTTTGTAACCAAACAAAACTGGCCTTGCAGGTTGTAATGTGAAGCTCTGTAAATGGCATGGAGAGAAAACCACTCTGGTATGGCGCTGGACTAATTCCCTAAACTTTTAGAGAAAGATTATTCCATTTACAGGGCTAAACATTTTTAATATAGTCATTGATACTGTGGTTGGTCAATATGGATTTTAAAACCTAAAACCCACACTTCAGTAACGTAGTAACTTTGGCATGGAACCACTAATACTGACAGATTGTTCAAGTCTAATAACTAGAAGGACAATAAATACCATGCCAAGCAACGGTAAACATTCTAGCCCTTAAGTATTACATTAGCTTGCATGCTACTGTTGACAGATATTAAAAATGAGAGTCAAAAGATTAACTCAAGTTTTGGCATCAGAATAGACAACACTACTCTGTTCTCATCCAAGCTCTCTGGGACCCTCTGCCACGATAACCCTCATAATAGCCGGCAGTGTTTGATGCACCATTATTTTCAAATATTTTAAAGAAATAAAAGAATCAGTGAAGATTTCAAAACTCCTGTAGTCTGAGCCTATGTTAACTGCAGCAACACTGCATTATTTGCTGAAATAAAGCTCATATTTAGTCTTAGTGAGAATGCAGAAGAGCTACATTTAGACAAGGTGATGTTCTTGTTAACAGTGTTATTTCTGGTGTTATGCTCCTTTCTCACCTGGCACCCGTGCTCTGTTTCTTATCTAACATTTTTCTTCTCTTAATCTTTCCCCTGCACCATCAAACATGTATGTTCTATGGTGTATTACAGCCTCTTTTATATCTTGTTCATTTTTCTTTCTCCTCCCATAGGTTCAGAGACAGATTATATTTATGGTAAGTGCCTTTAACAAGAATCTCATTGACATAAGACTTTATGGTTAGGACCCTCTGGTTGTCAAGAGGGAGTAAGCTCTTCCTCCGCATATGTATGGCGTTATATTTGTGCCTCTATCCTGAGTACGCAATGAAACATGTTGAGCATAGAAAATGCTATTGAGCGCGCACTTGAACATTTTTGAGCACAGAGAAATATATTTTCTCTCATTAAACTCCTGCTCCGTGCGCAAGCAGACCACTGCACACGCTCTCTCTCCCTCGCTCGACCTTTCCAGCCTGTGCACGCTCAGCTTTGCCTGCGCTCGCTCAAGTTGTCACAGCGTTACAAATGTGCCACAAAACCAACCAATCGGAGAACTCGAGAAGGTCAATTCTGATTTGCTGGTCCAGCGCCATGTAGAGAGAAGAGTTGCAACAGCGGAAGTCCAAAATGCTTGATCGTCACGTGGTTCAGAGAGACTCAGAAAGTTTGTGGCGGGCCATTTGAATCACGATTTGAATGCATTAATAACAGGATAGAAATGCCACTAACAATTAAGAGTCAGAAAATTGACAGATTGATGTTACGGGAACAGCAAACGACCGAGGCGCAATTGTAAAGAGGGTTACCATAGTTATTCATGAAGAATAATAGAATTAGGAATTTTATAATCGTGTAATAATGAAATTTTTTTTGTTGTTAACTAGACATTGACGTATGTGTATAGCTATACAACATATGGAACGTCTAGTTTTGAGAAAGGAACTAGTGATTTACTGGTGTTNGCATAGAGAATTAACAACTAAAAATGTAAAGTCAAAATAAAATAATAATAAAATACAGCAAGTAATAAGACATGTGCTTTATAAATTAAATGTGTGATGAATATGAATAGTAGTAGTAGTAGTTGTAGAAGTATTAATAGTAGTAGTAGTAGTAGTAGTAGAAGTAGAAGTAGTAGTAGTAGAAGTAGAAGTAGAAGTAGTAGTAGTAGAAGTAGTAGTAGTAGAAGTAGTAGTAGTAGAAGTAGAAGTAGTAGTAGTAGAAGTAGAAGTAGAAGTAGTAGTAGTAGTAGAAGTAGTAGAAGTATTAGTAGTAGTAGAAGTAGTAGTAGTAGTAGAAGTAGTAGTAGTAGTTGTAGAAGTATTAATAGTATTAGTATTAGTAGTAGTAGAAGTAGAAGTAGTAGTAGTAGAAGTAGTAGTAGTAGTAGTAGTAGTAGTAGTAGTAGAAGTAGTAGTAGTAGAGTAGTAGTAGTAGTAGTAGTAGTAGTAGTAGTAGTAGAAGTAGAAGTAGTAGTAGTAGAAGTAGTAGTAGTAGTAGTAGTAGTAGTAGTAGTAGTAGTAGTAGTAGTAGTAGTAGTAGTAGTAGTAGTAGTAGTAGTAGTAGTAGTAGTAGTAGTAGTAGTAGTAGTAGTAGTAGAAGTAGTAGTAGTAGTAGTAGTAGAAGTAGAAGTAGTAGTAGTTGTAGAAGTATTAATAGTAGTAGAAGTAATAGTAGTAGTTGTAGAAGTATTAATAGTAGTTGTAGAAGTATTAATAGTAGTAGAAGTAGTATTAGTAGTAGTAGAAGTAGTAGTAGTAGTAGTAGTAGTAGTAGAAGTAGTAGTAGTAGTAGTAGTAGAAGTACGATCACTATGTTAGTGATAGCTGGTCTATATATTAATATGTTGTGATGCGAGACTAGATATCTACTGTATGTCTTCAAGGTATCTGGTTATGGCAAAGGAGTTCTCCAGGGTTTTTAAGGGCTGCATTGAAGAAGAGTGATGACCTTTACATGTTATTATTTGTCTTGACCCGAGTCATTATCAGGCTTGTGGAGTAAGGGAATATATGTAAAGGGGATTACATTATTAGGGTACAAGAAAAGGTAACCAAGTAATCCCTTATAGTTGGATTATGATCAGAATACAGGTATACAGTGGAGGACATAAGTATTTGATCCCTTGCTGATTTTGTAAGTTTGCCCACTTACAAAGAAATTAACAGTCTGTATTTTTAATGGTAGGTTTATTTTAACAGTGAGAGTAAGAATATATATAAAAAAATGGATTTGCATTTAACTATGGGAAATAAGTATTTGATCCCTTGCAACCAACACAAACTCTGGCTCCCACAGAGCGGTTACATAAGTCCATTTCCTTTCAAATAAAGTAATCATAATATCAACTTTGTTCCCTGTATAAAAGAAACCTGTCCACAGAATCATGGGCAAGACTAAAGAGCTGTCTAAAGACTTCAGAGACAAGATTGTAGACCTGCACGAGTGATCAAATACTAATTTCCTCCACTGCAATGTCCCTTTTCAAATAAAGTGGACTACAAGCAGGGTTAAAATGTTACAATACGTTTTAAAATAACAAAATGAAGATTAAGAAATCCATCCTACCTGGGTTAAAGTGCCACTCATGGTCTCCTGAAGACGACACCAGCGACACCAGGAGAGCGAACACAGCGACAGGAAGCAGCTGCAGGGTTGCCATGACAGCAGCAACACACCTGGTTACCTGTGAGGGGCCGCACTGATGCCCACAGGCATACCTGTTGGAGAGAAAAAAAAGAGATATTCAGATTTACATCGACTTTAGGATTATGTCTGTGCTTGTTGAAACTGCATTAACCACAAATGATTGTATTAAAAACGCCCTTTTCACACACAGCTACATAAAGAGGCAGCAGAGCTCTCGATCACCGTCCATTTCTCAACTCCCTCGATCAAAAATAGCACGTTGCATGTCTAAGTTATTTGTCTCTCTACGCTTTGCATGCCGAGCTCAGAAATCGTCCAAATCCCAGAGGAGCGAGCTCAAAGCCATAACAAAGGCCACTTTCACACACTAATTTGTTTTTCTCTCTGGCAGCAGAACGCAGAATAATACTTTTCTGTCTGTAGAAAGGGTGCAAGCCTATTGGTAATTGAAGAAGGTATAATTAGCCGGCCCAAGTATTCGCAAAACTGAATTCAAATCCACGTTCTCTCTAATAGGGGGGAGCCTATTTGGAGCAAACGGTCGGAGAAGTTTGGAGTCAATAACAAACAGATGAAGCTGTCATTTTTGGAGATGGGAAAAAATGAGAATAAATGCATGAGAGAGAAGGATAGATGTTAAAGTAATTTAAAATAATAGGGATCCAAACGTGTCTGAGCTAGGTTAGTGCAAAGTCAATGATATGCTCATAACGCCCAACCACAGACATTAAGCATTTGTTGTTCTTAAAAGCTTAAAAATCACATGCACACCCACACTTAGCTGCAAGTTTAATAGGTCAGCTACACTTAGTGAAAACTAATGCAGTCTAATACAAAAGTGCTGCTATAAATCTCCATTCGTGAAGGTTAAAATGTTCAGATGTTGGTGAAACTGTTGACGGGAGGTGCTGATTAAAATGTATGATCCTTTTGGAGGCTGTAGTTTGTGGTGTTGTTGAAATGTGTTGTGAGAGGTTTGTCCTAATTAAATGTATCCTCATTACTATTAATGGGGTGGACAAAATATTAGGATAGTTTCTAAATTATGACTTATTCACAAGAAGCTTATGAGTATATCTCTGGTAGAAAAAACATTAAAAGTGGTGCTTGGGCTTGATTCTTTGTGGAGAAACTCTATCAACGAATCATTTAACGTGTGAACTGACTAAGAATGTATTTTCATATTGGTTTTGGAGCATGTAAATGGTCTGCAAAGCTAAATTCCCTGTGTTTCCTCTCCAACACCCCCCCCCTGCTTGAAACACCTCAATTGGACTCCTTTGTTTACTTCTGTTACATAGTGACATCGCTATGTAACACTCTCACTTCTATTGGCTTAACTCCTCTGATATATTGTACCTGAAAATTAGCATTATAGAGCACATATATGATGAGAAGATGATTTAGAGTTGAGCTCTTGAATTATTTTTTTAAGGTCCCATGTCATGCTTTTACGGTTACCCGTCCCCTTGTGTGTTATGAAGGTTTTTCTGCATGTAAACGGTCTGCAGAGTCACAAACCCTAAAAGTACACCCTGTAGCGAGTAAAACTCTAACACAGAAAAGACCTGTCTATGCTGCCCCAGAACGCCTCGTTGGAGATTTCTCATTTTGGTTCCGGGTACCAAATTGGACCAATCCGCGGAGCTCCTCACGCACCAGGACCTTTAGCGTAAATGTTCAACTATCAGGGAGTCCCATTGACTTGCATAGAGCTCCCTGGTTGGTAATAGACGAGTTGGGATGGTGGAGAAATGCTCTCCGCAGACCCATTCTCACAGCGTTATAAACCTTTTTCTTACTCAATATCAAGCCACACTTATTGTTTTTACTTCGGCTGTGAGTGTTTGTGTGTGCTCAGGATGAGTTTCGCGCTGTCCCGCTGTATCGCCGACCCGGAAACCACACCAGTAAGCCAGCTCACTGAGCAGCGAGCCTCAACGTCCCGACCAATCAGAGCACACTGGGCTCACAGGGAGGGGGGGGTTGGCAGGAGCTCCAACAAGCCGGTTAGGACTGAGAGTGAATACACATACTTTACAGAGATGCTGTATGAGAAACCAATGCCAGTTTGGAAAATTGCACAATATAAATCTATTCTACTCGACCTCAACAATGGAAATATGATCAGTAGAAATGGCCATGACATGGGACCTTTAAGGAGAAACTATCAACAAATCATTTAACGTGTGAACTGACTGAGTATATTACATAAACTCAAGGTCAGAAGTTTTAGTCAGTTAAGATTTCTTTAGTCGAAATCTTTTTGAGGGAGACTTGATGTTTTTGAGCCACAGTACGTTTTACCTACAGCAAAACACTGGCAACAAAGTGTAGATCTACAGTGTTTTCAAAATGTCGTAGTTAAAGTGAATCACACAAAGAAAACAAGCATATTTCATTGCTCCATCCCCCTCCAAGACTACTTTGGAGACACGTTTGGGAAAGATTTCCAGTGGTGAAGCTAGAGAGAGGAAAGGAACTTCATGATAAGTGGAAGTCCGAAGTGGGAGTGACAGCTGGGGGAGACAAGAGAGGCCGGGCTGTCTTCCCTGTAGACCTTCTGTGTTTCGGCTTCATCTAGACTAGACTGGGACAGGCCGACAGCTGACACACAGCTGTAGTGACAGAAGATCGGAGGGGAGGGGAGGAACGAGGGGGGGGGAATGTATGGAAACAGAGCGAATAGTGGAGGGCGGAGACGCTGAAACAAGAGCAGCGATGACATGGGTACATGTGTGTGTTTGGCAGGAGGGAGGCGGTGGAGAGAGGGTGACTTATGGCCTGCTGGTGTAAGTATGCACAGGTTTGTAGGACGCGTATGTGGGCACAGAGGAGATTTCAGGGAGAGCCAATCATTGCAGCTGTCCGGAACGGGAGACACAACGCAACCGATACATGTGTGCCAAGTGGGGAGAGAAAGAAGGGCTGAAATATTTCATTTTCCCTTTGCAGAAAAACTATGTGTGTGTGTGAGTTCCAGGTGACAACATACTGAAAAGGGGACTTAAAAGCAGAGCCTAGACTCTGAGGAATGGGGCCACAAATCTGGGGCACTCACCATAACAGTGAACCATGGTGATCAACAAAACACTATCCGAGACAACGCATTTTTCAATGAAAGAAGGAAACTGGAACTTTTTTATCCAACACACCACAGATAAATGAAGGGCTGAAGTATTTATGTTTTCCTTCCCAGAAAGAATCCTCAGTTGTCCAAATATGTGTGTGTGAGTTCCAGATGACAACATGATGAAATATGGGGCTTACTAGGCTTAAAATCAGAGATGAGAATCTTAGGAATGGGGCCACAAATCAGAGGCAATCTCCATAACAGTGAACCACGGTTATATCAACAAAACACTATCCTTGAAAGCGTTTCATCACAGTTTCGCCAATGAACGGGGGAAAGATGTTATGAACAAGGGAAGAAAAGCCACTGTGACAAATGCTTTGGCGAGCAGGAACAAAAGTAGCCACAGCCACCGGAGAACATTGTTGTCAGAGAAGTCAAGTGGTGTTGAACAGCTGTGGTTAGCGCTCAGCAGGAGGAGGAGGCAGCGCAGTGTGGAGCCCAATCTACACCCTCACATTGTGTTTCAGCTAATCCATACGCAGGACTAATGAATACTTATGAGCAGCTGCTGGTTCAGAACACACAACTGACAAAAGAGAGACACGAGTGGAGAGGCTCACACAGAGAAACATGTTTTTAGTTAGCAGTCCTTGCATCATTACAGATAGTTTGCCAGAGTTTCTATAATTAGATTGCTGGCACGACTGCTTTGGCACTGGTTAGCATCTTTTCTAGTGAGCCCCTCGAGCTGGAACCATATGCATTCGCTATTCTTTCCAGTTGTATAATGAAGCCGGTCCAAATGTCAATGGCAACCTAAAGGATTGTTCAGGTTGTCTTGCATTGCTCATTACCTGCCAGTCGTGTATGTTTTATCACCGCTGAGAATATCATAACTATCGGCTTTCTGTGATTAAGTGCATTTGAAACGGCCGTTAGTTTAGGACTCGTGGGTACAGGGTAATTTAAACTTTAAACATGAGAGGTAATCAATAACAGACATTAAAGCACAATCATCTTTTAGACCACGTTTCTTTTTTTCGCAGTAACATAATCAATAAGACTCTGCTCAGCTGCTGAACAGTAATAATGTTAAAAGCCACACAAATAGCAAACTTGGACAATGATTAGTTTGGAAAGAATAATTTGAACGTTATGATTTGTAGCAGCAGGCGAACTTACTAATGTTGGCTAAGATTTGTTGGAAAAGAAGCAGTCAACATCTTGTCCAGACTGAAATATCAACAATAGCCTCAACTATGATTCTTTTTCAATCATCAGCATGTTAGCCTTGTCACTGTGTGCTATTGATAGCATTTACCCTTTTACTGTACAGACACTTACATCGTTAGTCTTGTTAAAACCAACTAGGGCTGAACGATATACCGTGTCATGGCGATAACCGCGATATTCAAATTTTTTTTTTTTAGGGCGTTCGATATTAAGAAGGTAAATTAACTCAAACACGTCATGTTACAATTATTTTGCTGCTTGCTACAAAAGGAAAACTTCCCATGTCAGGGGTACTTGAGTGGAGTGACATGCAGGCTCTGAGTCTGCATGCACAGCAAACAACTATTTCAGATGCCTTTGCCGGTGTTACACCATATGAGAGGTTCAAAACGGCATAAAGGAGCTGGTGTTAGAGATGTCCCGATCCGATCACGTGATCGGGGATCGGAGCCGATCACGTGATTTTCAAAAGATCGGAATCGGGAGGGAAAAAATCGGGGATCGGGATTTTTTTTTTTTTTAAATTTTTTTTTAAAATACTTTTTTTTAAATTTCGTATTCAATGTTACAAAACAAAAATGACCATGTTCAAGTCTTAAAGTCATCCTGAGGCCTTAGTTTTTGTTTCAAATGACAGAACATCATGTATGTGTTGCTTCTTTGGGGCTTGTTTTCTTAGACCTGGTTGCTTATTTGTCTCAAATCTGGCAACAGAGTGGGCGCAGTGTTTAATTGTAGCAGTAAGCTAACGAGTACTGAAAG